GTAGATAACCTTAGATGGATCTTGGCTGAAAACAGGGAGTACCAGAGGAATGACTATCTGTATTTCATTGACTACGGAAAGTTGTTTGATTGTATGGATCGTAACAAACAGTGGCTAACTCTGAGAAGAATGGGAATCCCAGAACATTTGATCATGATTATGCAAAACTTATACTTGGACCAGGAGGCAGTCATCAGAAAAAAGCAAGGGAACACTGCATGGTTCAAATTTGGGAAGGGTGTAGGTCAGGGAAGTGTACTACCTCCACACCTTTTCAATCTATATGCTGAATAGATTATCCCAGAGGCTGGGCTCTATGAGGAGAAATGTGCCATCAGAATTGGAAGATGACTCAGCAATAATCTGTGTTATGCAGATGACACAAACCTACTTGCTGAAACTGAGGAGGACCTGAAGTGCTTGCTGCAGAAGGTCAAGGATTGCATCCTTCAGTAACGATTGAAGCTCAGTATCAAGAAAACAAAGATTCTCACCACTGGGCAAACTGGTGGCATCATGATAGATGGTGAAAAAAGACTGAGCTTGTTAACAGCTTATTTTGCTTGGTTCCACAATCAACACTCTTGGCACTAGCAGCCAGGAAATGAAAAGACATACTGCACTGGAAAAGTATGCTGTCAGAGACTTCTCCAAAGTACTGAAGAACAATAAATAATGTTAGTCAGGAGACTAAGGTGCACTTGATACAAGCCATGATCTTTGCAATCACTCGCTATGCTTCAGAGAGCTGGACAGTAACTAGTGATGATAGAAGAATTGATGCTTTCGAGTTCTGGTGGAGAAGAGTGTTGAATATACCATGGACTGCTAAGAGAATGAACAGGTTCTTCCTAGAGAGCGTTAAACCAGGCTGCTCCTTGGAGGCAAGAATTCTGAGGCTTTGTTTGATACTTTGGGCATATTGCAAGGAGGGACCAGTCCTTGGAGAGGGAGTCATGCTTGGGAGGGTGGAGGGACAGCATAGGAGTGGAAGACCATCAGTGAGATGGACTGATTCAGTGACTGGGCTAATGAGGGCAGGTGTGTCAGAGATGGTAAGACTGGCACAGGATAGAGCAGGATTTAGGGCTGTTGTACATAGGGTGACTGTGAGTGACAAGCGACTCAACAGCTCATAACAACAGTTTAAAAAAATTAGTTTCAGTTGAAAATTAACACCTTTGTGGGAAAAGCTCAGAACTTTTGTTGTTAATGTATTCTCTAATTTCACTGATCTATTTAAAACTAACATTTGGGACAGAATTTTAAAATGTGGGTTTGTTTTTTTTTTTCAGAACTGCCTCAGGAATATATTGCTGGGGGAACAAGAGGTGAAACAGCTGGTCCTTGGTTCTAGGCTCTCTACTGTTCTTTGTTTTATACTTTACAATTTTGTTTGTAGGGCACTACAGCTAATAACACAAGCCTAAAAATCAATTAATTAGATGAGAAGAGTTAACAAGTAACTCATAATTTTTTTAAAAGTTTCTAATTGTATCAAATAGCTACTTTGTAGTTATTACTAGAGGAAGAGAATGGAGCACTTTTGTTAGTCTGGAAATCAGACTACCATGCTTTGATTGATTACTCATTTAAACATCTCTGGATTTCGGTACTTCCTATTAAACACAGGAGTTTTACTCACTGTCTAAGGTGGTTCAGTCATTGGTGGTGGTGTGCATACGGAAAGTGACCTTAGGATTGCGGACGTATAATGTATGTTTTTACTACTATCAAAAGTACGGCGGACTGCTAGGAGAACAAACAAATTTGTCCTGGAGAGGGTGATGCCAGGCAGCTCCTTAGAGGCAAGTATTCTGAAGCTTTGTCTGACATACTTTGGACATACTTTTGGGATCAGTCCTTGGAGAGGGACATCATGCTTGGGAGGGTGGAGGGACAGTGAGAAGAGGAAGACAATGAGATGGAATGACTGAGTCAATGGGGTAATGCGGATAAGGTGTGTCGAAGAAGACCAGAAGATTGGCAAGAGACAGAACAAGGTTTAGGGCTGTTGTACAAAGGATCACTATGAGTCACAGGCGACTCGAGGGTACGCAGTAACAACAACTATCCAAAAGATATGCCCATGTTTTAGTTTTCAGAAAGTTACAAAAAGTAGTTAAAACAATTTCTCAAAGATTAAAATACAAAACAACAATATCATTAAAATTAAGTAGCTTACAACTCACGAGGCCCTACCCTGGGTTTCTGAAGCTGTAAATCTTTATGAGGAAAAAAATTTGCCTCTCTTTCTCCCTTGGAGCAACTGGTGGATTCCAACAATCCACCTTTTAAGTCTCCAGGCCAACACACAATACACCAACCCCAGGGAAGGTGTAGTCACATCAACAGAAAACTTATTTCATATTTCCCTAAAAATTTATAGTCTGTGAATTAAAGAACTTACTCAGAAAACATGCAAAGATGTTGAACTTGAGAAATACAAAGCCTTTTAAACAGGAAGACTAAAGAAATACCAAAATTTAGGAGCTTCACTGTTCATCTAATATTAACCTTTATTTTAAAATTCTCACAATTTTCCCTATGTGATGTAATTCTGCAGTCAAGGAGCAGGGACTGGCACAATAGTTAATTGCTCATTAAATGTAACAGAGGCTAACTAGCAAATAGAAAGGAGAAAAATCTGGTAATTCGTTGCACAATGACCACTGCCTAGAAAACAGAGGCTAGTACTCTCTCACATGGTGGCAGCAAGCTGAAAATCAACTCAATGGTACCTATTAAAAAAAATCCTCTAATCAATATGCAATGTCAGAAAGAAGTAGGTTTTTCAGATTCTTAATTAAAAATTCTGGTCCTTTGGTAATATGAATATATTCCTAACCCAGTGGCACAGTGGGTTAAGAACTTGCCAGCTAACTGAAAGGCCATCGGACCCACCAGTTGCTCTGCAGAAGAATAAGACAATATAGTTAGTCTACATAAAGATTTACAACCCAAAAATTCCATGAAGCAGTTCTAATATGTCGTATAACGTGGCTATGAGTCAGAAATGACTAGATGGCAGTGAGAAGGTAATATTCATTCTGTTATAATAATAAAGCTAATTTTCATGCTAAGCTTCTAACCTGTGTCCTGTGGTTATATCTTAACTGTCACACAAATGTATAGTTTCTCAAAAAAAAAAAATTCCAAAAACTTTCTACTATTCGGAAAATAGCCCAATATTATATGACAACAATCAGAGGTTCTACCAGAATACAGTAGTTTATCTCCCTTCTTAAAATCTGGGAACTTTGCCTTGGATGACAAATTACAGAGCTTTAAGTTTTAGCATTGTACAGAGATGTAAAAAACAAATGCTTGGGGGTCTTTTTGGTAATAATGAGAAGCTGATAAAAATATTAAATTTTGGCTAATGGGTGGTTATAAGTTTTCCAAAAAGGAAATCTTATGAATGCTTTTCATATTGTTGTTGTTAAGTGCTGTTGTAGATGACTCAGCGACCCTATGAATCCAAGACCTGAACACTTGTATAATTGTTTCTTCAAGTTTCTGGAGGCAAGATATTTCTGAATTGGATGCCACTCCTGCTTCTAAGCTTGTTTTAACCAGAGAGCTCCACCAAACATTGTTCACCATGGGTAGCCATTATCACACTTGATGCATCAGTGTCAGTGTTTAGCATCGCAGCAACCATGAGTTACCTCTGTACAGCAAATGGACAGACCAGTGCTATACCCTTAGAAGAATGTTTGACCAAAAACAATTAGGTGTTCCATGTGTCTGGAATCTGCTTATCATATCAGATGGTACCAGTATTTTTCCCCTTTTTGTCAAAGTGCATGGTTTTTACTTACCCCTCCTAGATCCTTAATGTCTTTTTGCAGCTTTTCAGCTACTATGACTGAAGGTAAATCCAGGTAAAATACTTTTCCCCAAAGAGGCTTATATTTGGATTTTTCTGTTTTGTTGTTGTCAGTTTTCAGAGATTTCAAAGACGGTCTGTTTTTCTCATTTTTGACTTGGATCCCTCCTGTTATTGAAACCACTCAGAATCAGTTCATGTTTTATGTAAACAAAAAATATTCACCATTTAAGAAAAAAATGCATTCTATAGTTATTTAAATTACAGAGGGGAAATGTCCTTATTATCTTGCCAATCTGTCATCAGCACAATGAATGCCTTCTAAGCTTTAACAGATCCTGTATTGTTAGATAATTGTTTTTTAAAGAGGAGTCTGAATCAACAGGAAATATATCCTTGCCTCCCCAGCCCCTAGGCACAGCACAGCACCAACTCATTTGATTTTCTCCTTTGGAATGTAAACTTACAGGAGTACTTACAAAACAATCATTTACTTTAATAGCTAGTCTCAAAACTGGTGCTTAAAGTACGAAATACTAAGTTTGGTAAAAAACTTGTTTTTGTCTTAGTTCTCAAGGGTTATGATTGGCAAGTTTTAGTTTCAAATATGGTTGGTTTATACATTATCAACCATTACGTTCACTGGAAGAACCTATCACTATTCACTCCATGATTTCCAGTGGAAACGAAAAACAAAGCTGATATTCAAGGAACTGCTTTAAAAATTAGCACTACGAGCACAATCTGGTTATGAACTGCAGTTGACTATATATACATACGTATATATACAAACACAAAAGAGGACTTGGGATGTTTCACCAACTGTAAAATAAAAATAATGTGCCTGAAACACTTAACTTTTTTGGAACCAAATGAAGACCAGGAATCTAGGGCCTACGGGGCAAGGAGGGCGCCTGGGGCCCGACCCCGGTCCCTTTCAATGAAGCACAACAGTGGATGGAGCCTTCCCTTAGGCCTCGTCTCCACAAAGAAAAGGCCGCCCAAGCTGGAAAACAGGGGACCCTCCAAGAAACCCTAAGAAAACAAGGGTGAAAGCAGAAGGGAAGGAGTGGTTAAAGGCCTGTCGTACCCTGGAAATGCCCTTTTCCGTGGATCCTCATAGCTCCAGAGTACATGGCAGCCGTCCGTCACCTACATGCTGGGTCCGGACCAGAGTCGCACTGGTCACCGCGAAAACAAGGCCTCCCCGGCCCGATGACGAGCCCACTAGACCGCTTGCGTTCCGCAGTCAGCAACCACAAAGCAAGACGGATGCTGAGGCCGCAGGCTGGGTTTCCGCAGGCCGGGTTTCCGGGCCCGGATCCGCGAAAGGGCACAGAGAAGGAAGTGGAATAATAGCACAAGTCAGCGCGATGCGGCGGTTCAAGATTTGAAAACGCGTCACGCAGCCGCCGCGCCCATAGGCGCGTCCCGCGCCGCCGCACGCTTACGCCGTCGCCCCGCCCCTACGTGCCCGTCCCCTCTAGTCCCGCCCCCGCGAGTCCGCTTCTTCGCGCCACTTGATCGGGTCCTCCTGGGCCCCTTTCTTTGAGCTTTGCTCCGCCTTGTCCTGCCTGCCTCTCCACACCGCCCTTACCCAGTTCTGGCCCCGCCTCCCTCCTCAGCCTCCCTCCGCACGCTCCGCCCAATCGAAACCCTCCTCCGCCGCAGCTCGGCGAGCCTTGCCCCCTCCTCGCACTTTACGCCCCGCCCCGTCGTCTTCCCTCCTCGCGCTGTACGTTCCGTCTTGCCACGCCTCCTGTCGCACGCCCCGCCCCCTTGGGTTGCGTCTCCGCCCCCTTCGTCCCGCAGCTGGTTGCACTCTGCTCTTTAGATGAGTCTTTACCCCTTCAAGGTTCTAGCACAACCTTCTAGAGTGCTGGCTGCCTTTTGACCAATCCTAGTGGATGCAGTTAGGGCTGGAGGCCTGCCCAACCCTGACACCAGGGTCATTTCCATTTTGTAGACTTGCCGGTATAGTCCGGCTTCCAGCCGCCTGCTTCGCCAGGTATTTCCCCTGGGTCTGATGTCCGGGAATTTGGCAGCATTGCCGCTATACAGACACTCTCAGACTCAGCTCGAGCCATGATCAACCAGCGGCAGCTCCCTGCTCAGTGCACTTCACGTCGAAGATCGTGATTCTCCCGCGGTCGCCTGTGAATCAGCTGTCCAGGGACAGGCCGCAAAAGGACTGTCCTGGGTGAGAGGGGCGCAATAGGGCGTGAGCGCGAGGGTCCAGCTAGGTGACCCCTGCCCTAGCTGAAAGCCTGCAGACCATTAGCGCCCTTTTGACTAAAAGGGCTTGCTTGCTGTTTTGACTGTTGGGCGCAGGTTTCTGTGTGAGTTTATGTCAACAGTAATGTAAAAGGAGTGGCATTTGAAATAGCAAGTCTAGGAATCGCCATCAGACCGACCACTTAACAAGCTGTGGTAATGAGACTTTGGCTAGATTACCTAATCACTTCGAATCTCAAATTTTCTCGCTTCTAAAATGGGGTAGAATAGGTTTGTGGAGAGTACTAGAGTATTTGTGAAAAGAGTACTTTGTGAATGTGAAAATGTATCTCATAGACCTGCGTGCAGTTGAGGGGGCATATATTTCTACTTGTAAACTTCTCAAAAGATATGCAATAGTATAGTAAATAGTTGCCAGCATGGGTAGCATTTAATCCAGCTCTTATTCTGTGCCTTTGGGTTAGCAGGGCTGCTCCCTATGGACTATGCCACTTGAGAACTCCCTTTGTGCTTCACAAAATATTGTGAAAATTAGTCATTTTAGAAAGCTTAATTGAATTAATCCTGTGCCTGGCACAGAATAAGAGCTGAATTAAATGTTATCATGCTGGCAAAAGCCACATTAGCCTATTATGTTAAAAAAAAAAGCCTTTAAGGTGGTGAAGATATTACTGATTTCTCAACAATTTCAGGAGATGATGATGGTGGTGGCTAGCTAAGACTAATGGACTTAAATTGAGACAATGCTCTTTTTTCCTTCCTCTTTTATTTTTTTTTTAGTTTGCAGACTTGGTCCATATACATTCTGCTTCCTATATCTGCATTCAATTTTATATAAGCCTTCATCTTTGTATAGTCATTCATATATATATTGTTGCATACATATATATTTTGTGTCATGCATTCATTTCTATACAGTGTGTTTTATATAATTAATTATTATTGATTTGTGACTTCTCTCACCCTGTGTGCCTTTAAGGCCCCTAAGTTTCCTTTGCACCTTACTTATTCTTCCATTTTCCCTTTTGAACAGTTATATTGTTCCTATTTGCAGTAGTTGTATTGTTCTTATCTCTATTTTTCCAGGTTATTCCTCTTCTGTCCTGGTTCCTATAGTGTTCATTGTACATTCTGTTTATGATCTGCTTCCCATCATTCCTAGGCTTCCTAATCTTTAGTTATCCTGTTTTCACATCAGTGGTCATATGCAATATTTGTCTGCTTATGAGTGAGTTATTTCACTCATTATAATGTTGTGTCATATTTTATAAACATCTGCTTATGAGTGAGTTATTTCACTCATTATAATGCTGTGTCATATTTTATAAACATCATTTTTAGTGCTATACGATATTCCATAATGTGAACATACTACGGTTTCTCTATCCATTTGTTTGTTGACAGGCATCATTTATTCTGTGGTCATCCTTAATCATTGTTGAACTTTCAGATGTATAGCATGTAATTGAAAAGACTATAACTTGAATCTAAGTTCCACCTTAGTCTTTAAACTGACATCATTGTTTCTGGCCACCTTGGAGAGGCAGCAGATTTTTCTCAGTGCAATGTGTATTTTTATTTATTGACTGATGTTGCCAAGGATGTTGATTGTGGATTCAAGCGAGATGAAATAACTGACAGCTTCAGTCTTATCTCCAACTATTGTGATGTGTTAAAGATTTTTGTGTTCTTGTTGTTGAGATGTTGTAGTATGTATAGTGTACACAATGCTTTTCAAGCCATTGAATTTGACTTTGCCAAGGGGGATGGACAAGAATATGTGAATGGGGCATGTAAGCCTGTCCACTAGCAGATTGCCTAGTCTCATCAATCCACAAGGTGATATGCTGGTCTTGCCATTAAGTTGAGCAGATCTGGCAGCTGAATTGGAAGATCTTCCTTGCCTGTGGTCTTGAGGTTAGTTTGGAGAAATACATTTTTACAATCCAGTTATGTCAGCCACCAATTATGAAGGCACTTAGAGGAAAGAATTTGTTACATATTTATGTTCAATAAAGATAGAAATCTCTTTACATAGCGTATCAGTAATTTGATTGTTGGCACTTCTATAAACTAGAATGTTATACCTACATTTGTCTGAATCTTCTTTGCATCCATTACCCTGTTCCTCTCATCTCTGTGTTTTTTATAAATTGGAAGATAGATCTAAAGATTTGTTTCATTAGATTAAACTTCCTCTTCCAGCCCCACATACTTCATAGATGATGTTGATGCTCTTCCTTTTATTCCACTATTAATGATACTAGGATTGGTCAGTGTGTTTGGATTCTGGAGGTTTGTTGGTGTTTTGTTTCAAGCAGTCAGAAGCTGATTCAGTGGGATCGTCTGAAATTTATTGTGAATAGGTTTTTGTACTTATTGCTAGGATTTATGGAGTGCCCCTCATATCCCGTAAAGTAATCTATAATTAACCTTATCAAAAGATATTGCAGATCTGCTTTCACAGACCTCTACAAAGTGCTATAATGTCAGTGAGCAAGAATGTCAATTTAAAGACTAAGGGGTGCTTGGTCCAAGTCATGGTCTTCTTAATCTCTTGTTATGCCTATGAGAGCTAGACAATGAATAAGGATAACAGAAGAATTGTAGTGTTGGTGAAGAGTACTAAATGCTCCATGGACTGCCAAAAAAACTAAACTGTCTTGGCAGAAGAGCAACAGAGGTGCTCCTTAGACTCAAGGATAGTTCAACCTTGGCTCATACTTTGTGCCTATTGTCAGGATAAACCATTCCTTGAAAAAAAAAAAGACATACTGGGGGAAATGGAGGGTCAGGGACAGAGAGGAAGATCTTCAATTAGATGAACTGACACAGTGACTGTAACAATGGGCACAAGCATATCAGAGATCTTGAGGATGGTGTGAAATAGGGTAAGGCTCAGATCTTATTAATTAATAGGGTTATTCAAAGGGTTGTTAGGAGTTGTAGTCCACTCCACAGCACATAACAACAACAACAACATCTAATAAATATTTACAGATTTGTGTTGTAAACATTTTTTTGTTTTATTTTATGTACTCTTTCCCTTCATGCTTATCCCTTAATTGTATGAAAACGTTAGGCATTTATTTTATTTCTTTTTTTTTATTATTTTATTATTTTTGTGTGAGTGTACTGTCAAATCAGATCTGACTGGTACAGGAGGAGATTGTCCCTCCTTCCCCGGCAGAGCATCTGGTGGATTCTAACCGTGTGCCTCTGGGATTGTAGTTGCAGCTTCTTGCCACTAGGCCACCAGAGCTCCCCTATTTTATTTTCTATTCCAGGTTTTCAGCTACTGATGTTACAAACAATAAAATATTGGAGCATAAAGTTGAGGAAAAGACTTAAACCAGGTTGGTAAATAATAAAAACCATAAAAAGATTAAAACTTAGCATCTATTGTTATAAAAGACATTATTGGAATAAATTACTATTCCAAATAACATTACCTGTATCAATGTGAAATTTTCTGCGTTTTGATAACTGCACTGTTGTTATAGAATAGAGTACTCTGTAGTACCCAAGGGTGAAAGGGAGTGATCTTTGCAATCTATTTGCAAATTGTTCAGGAAAAGACATTTATAATGTCTGTTTATATTATGCTACTGTTTATGGAGAGAGCGAGAGAATGAGTTTAGTGACATTATACTTCTTGGAGCTCATATATCACTATTGGAAATATGAATTGGGCCAACTTTTTAGAAAAGCATTTTGGCAATTTGCATCATATTTTTTTATCATCCCATTTTTAAATTGTTTAGCCTTTTCTCCTAGAGTCATGGTACTAAATGCTATAGAAATATACATGCATAGGATATTCAAGGAGTTCTAATGCTGTAGTGCATAATGTGTCAGACTGCTAATCAAAAGGTCAGCACTTTAAATTTTTACAGGAAAAAGATGAGCAGCTTCCTATCTTAAAGATTTTCAGCCTTGAGAATCCAGTACAGGCTATTATAGAAGTCAGAATAGACTTGACAGGATTGAATTTTTATATTTATATCAGAGTGCCTTATGATTAAAAAACTGGAGTGGATTATAATTTAAATACTTTCAACAATATAAATATCTGGCAGACTAGTTATGTTGTTGTGTGCTTTTGAGCCTTTTTTAACTCATAGCAACTCTATGTGGCAAATAGGGCTTTACAGGCTATAATAGTAATAGGTGGTACTGCCAAGCCTTTTCTCTGGGAGGTTGTTGATCATTCAGATCACTAAATTGTCAATTAGTAGCTTTGCATTTGACCATTGTATTACCAAGTTTATAAAATTAAATACTGTACATTAACAATGATATTGCATGTCTATATTTATTAATCAGGATTTCTATGTCTTCATGTATCAAAGCAGACTACTAAGTACTATGGATAACATTAACTGTTGTTTTGAAAGATGTGTATAAACACAGATATGTGAGTGTGTATATGTGTTTAGTAGGTAGATGTGCATGCATAAACATTTAGAATTATGACACTTATGTTGCCACTGGTTATTTCTAAATAGTATGTTTATAAGTGGCTTTAATACTTCAGAAATATTTGGGTGAGGGAAATGGGAAGGATCTGTTGTGAAAAACAATGTATTTTAATTTTGTAAATAAACTAATATAAAATATTTAAAAAATTGACCTTTTAGTGAGAGTATCTGTGTGTGTGTGTGTGTGTGTGTGTGTGTGTGTGTGTGTGTTACTGTTATGTGCCATCGAGTCACCTGTGACTCATAGGGACCCTATGTACAACAGCTCTAAACCCTGCTCTACCCCAGTGACTGAATTATTCCATCTGATCTAGGGTCTTCCTCTCCTGCTCTGTTCCTCCACCCTCCCAAGCATGATGTCCCTCTCTAAGAACTGATCCTGCCTTTAAACATGTCCAGTGTATGTCAGATGAAGCTTCAGAATCTTTGCCTCTAAGGAGCAGCCTGGCTTCACACTCTCTAGGACAAACTTGTTTGTTCTCCTGGTGGTCCATGGTATATTCAATACTCTACTCCAGAAACACAGTTCAAAGGCATCAATTCTCCTATCATCACTAGTCATTGTCCAGCTCTCTGATGCATAATAAGTGCTTGCAAAGACCATGGCCTGTATCAGGCGCACCTTAATCTCTAGACTGACATTGTGGCTTTTCAGTACTTTGGAGAAGTCTCTAACAGCAGACTTTCCCACTGCAAAATGTCTTTTAATTTCCTGGCTGCTGTTCCTAAGAGTGTTGATTGTGGAGCCAAACAAACTAAAGCTCTGAACAATCTCAATTGCTTCACCATCCATCATGATGCTGCCAATTTAAAATGATTTTTTGAAGATAAAACCTTTTATTTAGGTCATGTTAAACCTTTATTATTTTAAACCTGTACATCTACTTTTGGTATATTATAAAATGGTGTTAAATTTATTGATATTGTACTCTGAGACCAGGTTGACAAATTCAATGTCTTGTTGGTTGACTGTTTTCATTTTTTTACATGACCAGGTTCTATTTCCTTAATTCTTTATTATCTACCTTACAAATAGGAAATTAAAAAAAAAAAATAGGAAATTTTCCCATAGTTTAGTCTATTATGGAATTAGACAATATGCTCTATCAGTGTTAATTTTATGGTTCATTTGTGTATAGAAATGATGTGGTATACATTTGACTGTAGTTAAAAAACCCTATTCTAAAAAAAACCCCTGTTCTTTGATATTAATACTGATTATTATTTTTGTAGTTAATTTTTATGAAAGTGCTTTTTAAATTAAGTTTTCATTTTGCATTTTGTTTTCTTTTCACAGGTTTTTCCTCATTTAGTTAAAAATATGGACCCTGAAAAAGAAGTACCAGAGATGGTCAAAGTGACACCTCTTCAACAGATGCTTGCCTCTTGTACAGGGGCTATACTGACATCACTAATGGGTAAACTGATGTTTGTGCTACATATAGATTATAGAACTTTGAGTGAAGCAATCTGTTTTAATTTTGACATCTATGAAATGTAATAATGAGACAAGGGAGAAAGGAGAGACCAAAATGCATATCAGAAGAGACTCTGAAAATTGCACTAGAATGACAAGATGCCAGAAACAAAAGAAAGAAATGCCGGAATAAAAGAGACAGATAGGTTTTCAAAGAACAACTTGAGACAACAAAGCAAAGTATTGTAACAAAATGTGCAAAGAGCAGGAGTCAGCAAATAAAAAGAGAACTTTACTTGGCATTTCTCAAACTGAAATAACTGAAAAACATACTCAAACTTCAAGAAGCAATACTGAAGGAGGCTATGGGTAAAATCTTGAATGATCTAGGAAACCTCCAAAGATGGAAAGAATAAATAGTCAATGTAGTGAAAAGAATTGGCTGACATGGAATCATTTCAGGAAGGAGCATATGATCCAGAACCGTAAGAACGGTAAGGAAGGAAGAAATTCAAGTTGCATTGAAGGGCATTGGAAAAATACAATGCTTAGGAATTAATGGCATACCAGCTGACATGTTTCAACAAATGCAGCCCTGTACGTGCTCACAAGGCTGTGCCAAGAAATCTGGAAGACAGCTGACCTGGTTAGTTAACTGTAAGAGATCCATACTGGTTCTCATTCTCAAGAAAGGTGATCCAACAGAATATAGAAATTATGGAACAATATCATTGATGTCACATGCAAGCAAGATATTGCAGAAGATTATTTAAGAATGACTAGAACAGTACATTGACAAAAAACTACTAGAAATTCAAGCCAGATTTAAAACAGGCTATGACACCAGAGATATCATTGCTTATGTCAGATGGATGTTGGCTGTAAGCAGAAAATACCAGAAGGATATCTAGTTCTGTTTATTAACTATACCAAGGCAATTGACTGTATGAATTACAAGTTATGGCTAACATTAAGAAGAAAGGGAATCCCACAACACTTGTGTTCATATTAAACCTGTACCAAGACCATGAAGCTGTTACCTGAACATAGCAAGGGAACATTACATAGTTTGAAATAAAGAAAGATGTGCATCAAGCCTGTACCCTTTCTCCATACCTGATTAATCTGTATGTTGAACACATCCTTTGGAAAACTAGACTAAAGCACTCTTTCCAGCTGGACTAAATAAGAATGTGGTATCACATCAGTTTTGGAGGAAGAGTCATTAACAGCTTGCTTTATAAATATGACAGTCTTATGTACTGAAAATGAAGAAACTTGCTGCAGACAATCAAAGACTAGCCTTCAAAAGGGATTACATTCCAACAAGAAGAAAATAAAAATCTTCACCACAGGACAATAAGCAACATCATCATAGATGGAGAAAGAATTAAAATCTTCAACAATTTCATCTTACTTGGATCCACAATCAACAGCCTTGATTCCAGCAATCAAGAAATTAAAAGATGTATCACACTGGGAAAATCTTCTGTCAAGGACCTCTCCAAAGTTCTAAGGAGTAATGATGTCAGTTTAAAGACTAAGGGGTGCTTGACCCAATCCATGATCTTTCCATTTACTTGCTATGTATGTATTTGCTGAAAGTTGGAAAATGACTAAAGATGATGCAAGAATTTATGCCTTTGGATTGTGGTGTTAGAGAAGAGTACTGAATATTCATGGTCTGTCAAAAGAACAAAGAAATACATCTTGGAGAAAGTGCAGCCAGGGTACTCCTTAATTGGGTCATGTCCTTTGAAAAGACAGTATGCTTGGTAAGGTGAAAAGGGAAGGAAGACCATCAACAGGATGGATTTACTTAGTGCCCTAACAATGGACTCAATGTTAGAGATGAAAATGATGATATAGGACAGGACAGAGTATAAATCTGCTGTTCTAAAAAAAAAAAATCTGCTGTTCTAAGGTTGCTATGGGTTATAATCAACTTGTTGAGACCTAACAACAATAGTGAGATAATGATAAGTTTCTTCCTTTATTAGAATATCATTATTCTAATAATAGAATATTTTTACTGTTATTAGGATAATAATATAAAATGCTCTGAACAGAGGATCAATAGACTTGGATTATAGTCTTTGCCATTCTCAGTGTGTGGTAATTTGGGAATAGGCCTTGGTTATTTCTGAACTCCATTTTTTTTACCTGTAAAATTAGGAGCTTAGGTGAGGAGTTCTTTAAATTTTCTGTTAATATTAACACTTCATCATTATTATTAATAGTAATTATTATTAATATCATCATTATATGAATGTAAATTATTAATAATAACACTTAATTAGCAATAAAATATTAGTAAAAATACTATAACATTAGGGAAAGCCACTATAATTTTTTTTTTACTTTGCTTACTTTAATAATTAATTTCTTAAATCTCCCTGGACTACTTTTTTTCCAGAGTCTTAACAGACACAGTCAAGTGGTATAATTAGGGTACAAACTAAAAATCTCACTGACTCCAGGTTGGTTCTGACTCTTAGCAATCCTGCATTAGGTTTGAGACTGTAAATGTTAATGAGATGAGACCATCCACCTTTCTTCTGAAGAGCAACCAGTGGATTCAAGCTGCTGGAGGTGCAGCTTCTCTGTTAGTAGTACACCGTAATTACCCTGTTAGTAATCTTAATATACTTAGTTATTTTAAAGTCATCATAAGACAAAAGCATATTCTAATTACTGTATAACATTGTATCTTGTTTTAGCCAAGAATTTTAGGATTTAAAAGACCTTTAGAGAAATTTAATGTGACCTTCTCCTTGAGATTGTTAACAATTTTAGCTTGCTCGGTTCCACAGTCCACACTCTTTGATATCAGCAGTCAGGAAATCAAAAGATGAATTATATTAGGAAAATTTGTCAGGAAACTCTCTAGAGTGCTGGAGAGCAACGGTGTCAGTCTGGAGACTAAGGTGCATCTGATCCAGGCTATGGCTTTCTCAGTTACTTGCTATGTATCAGAGAACTAGACTAAGGATGACAGAAGAATAATTGATGCCTTTGAGTTGTGGTGCTGGAGAAGAGTATTGAACATACCACAGACTGCTGTGGAATTTATCTTTCAATATGGCTTTCGTAGCCACTGAACTTGACTCTGCTACGTGGATATGTGTGAATTATGCAACCAGGGTATGTTGGGCTACCCACAATGGGGTTAACTATCTCACCAGTCTGCAAGGGGATCAGCCAGTCTCACCAATCTACAAGGGGATTGGCTAGATTTGCCAGTAACTTTGAGTGATTCCAGCAGCACAGAGTATCTCTTACCACAGGCAAAGGAGAAGTAGGCCTGCACTGGATGCCTTTCAGGCCCAGACATTCTTGCACCATCTAGACTTGACCAAAGAGAACCAGATAATCAACATGAGATGGATTTAACCTTGGAACTGCTACCAGAGCTAAGACCATTTGCCCAAGTTGATTAGTCAATTTAGGGGGTGGGGTGAGCCAATGTTGACAGAATGAGAACTCTGGAACTGGGCATATTTGAGAAGCTGTCTTCACTATACTTGTTACTAACCTAGATTATAACTTTTTAAGTTCTCCAATATAGTTAGTGTGGTCTGTGAGTTACCACATCTCATTTTGAACCCAATAAAGCAGTAAGATTGGTGTTGAGAGAAGTAGAAAGAGGTATGGGAACATGGGCATATGCCTCAGGGGAATTGGTCTTGTCCTATTGATGCTGTTGATGAGAACAGTTCCCCTTTGTGAATTTGGTATATGTCAGATATGGCTGTCCTCACATGGCCTTTGCTGTTCTTAAATCTGCCAAGAGAACAAACAGATCTGCCCAGAAAAGAGCCAAACCAAATTTCTCCTTAGAGACAAGGATTGTGAAGCTCCACCTAACATATTTTGGGCATATTGCCAAGATGGATGTCCTTGGAGAAGGGCATCATGCTTAGAAAGGTATAGGTACAGCACAGGATAGGAAGAACCTGAATGAAATGGATTGAAACATTCACTGAGGTAATGGAGGTGGATGTTTCAGAGACTGAGATTGGCTCAGGATAGGTCAGGGTTCAGAGCTATTTTACATAATGTCACTGTGAGTCACAGGCAACTCAAGGGCACTTAACACCAACAACGTGTCCTCAGCAGAGGAGGTAATGTTTGATTTAATGTATTTTTTTTTCTTTGGGGGATATGTTCATGCAATTTACAGGTCATTCTTGTTTTTAGTTGCCATTGAGTTGAGTGCAGACTAGAACTGCTCTATAGGATTTTCAAGGAGGTGACCTTTTGGAACAGATTTATAGCTGTGTCTTCTGTGACAACTGTGGGTGGGTTTCAGTTGTCAGCCTTTGGGCCAGGAGTCAAGGACTTAAGTCTTTATACAACCCAGGAACTTCCCAATTTACAGATACTACTTCCTAACTGGAATTTATGTTCTTGTTAGTGACACCTCTGGATGTTGTTAAAATTCGACTCCAAGCCCAAAGCAGCCCATTCACCAAAGGTATGTACACTAGTTAGACCTGGAAAATAGTATTTTAGACTTTTTTCAATGTTACTGCATTCATCCTTTTCCCCCCCAATTGGTTTGCATTTTATTAAATTTATATAAATTTCATTTATATTGTGTTTAATTCATGTGCATTGTGTTTTATACAGTCTTTCATACTGCATTCATTCTTGTTTGGCTAATATTTTCTTATTTAATGTTTAAAAATTTATGCTTGTCTTCTGGCAGGCACATTTTCTCATCACATAATGAAATCTAGATAGAGAGTAAATACATCACAAAATATAATCCTGTGAATTTACTAGTTGCAAAAAGCAGAAAACGAGACATGGTGGCACAGGGCCATGAATGTCTTTCTGAAAGGGCCAGAGAGAGTGAGAATAGCATAGCCCCTCACTGCCCCAGAGGAGAAAGGGGATAAAGAGTCCATAGCCCAGCCCCATGGTGCCTCACCAACTGCACGAGGTTAATTTATTTGTTATTGACTCACACACTTTACTCACAGTTGTACTGAGAATGGGGTTTATTAGGGAAGCAAGTTGGAGAGTGGGGTATGCAGGTCCAGAATTTAGCCCAAGAGTCCCAAGTCAAAATTGCTCAGTTAGTCCAGGCTCTAGTTTCAGTTCAATGACCAGCTTTCCCTTCCATCATCCAACAAGAATAGCAAAATCTTTAACAGGGGCCTTTCTCTCAGGGCTCCTCTGGTTACACTTTTCTACAGTTTATCCACAGCAATGCCACACTGTCTTTACCAACATCACCAGAGTCTTGCTCCAGGCTTACTCACGTCTTGCTGCTCAGTGTGGGAATCACTCTGCAGTTAAGGTAACTGGAGACCAGAGGGGGCTGAGGTAATAGCTAAAAAACCCAACATTAAGCTGACTCTACACCAGTAAAGAACATGCAAACAATATGCCAAGTAATTAAAGAAAGGCATTGTAACATATTTGAGAGTGTGCCTCACAAATAGTGATAGAATAATACATGTATTTATCAGATAAGTAATATATAGATACCAAGAAGGCACCAAAAGAGTAAAAAACAAGAATTTTTTTTTTAAAAATTCCTGTATATTAGAGAAAGTTTTAAAAGCAGGAGCCACTTAAGTGGATGTATTCTAAAACTCACAGAATTGAATGTATTTAGGAAAAACAATTTTGGTAGCAAATATGAGCTCAGAACTTAAATGAAGTTGATAATAAAGTTTTAGTAAATTAAGTAGAAACTGACTAATGTCTAGGCTGAGTGGCACAAATACAGAGAAAAGGACAAAGACAGTATTATTTATATTGCTGAGAACTTTTTCATAGCCCATTTCAAATTTTCCTTGTGCATCACAGAGATTTCTTCTAGTCAAGTAGACAAGGTGTGTACACATATGTTCTCTTTTAGAAACAGGTTTCTTTATCTTCCCTCTCTGTTTGGATAATGTAAAAGGATTTTTCTGTGCCAGTTTGTTTGCTACAGTCTGAAAATATGAACCCTATCAAATACTAACCTATTTTCCACAACTCTGAGTTAGTAAATTTATGTTTCATCCACAGCATTATTTCTCTTTACATAACGTTCTAACCTCCTCACTGTGTTTTCAATTTATTCATCTCAAAAGGAAATTAAATCAAGTAGTTGTTGACTGTTGAAATCTTCTTTGTTAGGAAAATGCTTTGTATATAGTAATGGACTCATGGATCATATATGTGTCTGTGAAGAGGGAGGCAACAAAATATGGTACAAGAAGCCAGGGTGTTTCCAGGGAACATTGGTAAGCAGCTTATATTCTTTAGATCCATGGTATATTTTCTTTTTAATCTTGTATAGGAAAGATTGATTGATTGATTGATTTTTAATTGCAGGAGAATAGAAGTTCCTTTGTTTCTCTTATCCACAGTAAAAAATAGTAGATCATGAAATAGGAAAAAAGTACAGAAGATCTTGAACACCCTGGGGATTAGGAATATTCAGCTCCTTCACAGTTCAAAATCCATGTGCAATTTGTAATTGACCCTTGAGCAACACAGGTTTGAACCACACAGGCCCACTATACACAACTCTTTTCCCTTTGGTGTTCTGTAAGGATGTCATAGGATGAGGCAGCGTTCAGATCTGTTGTACAAAGGGTTGCAGTGAGTTGTAGTTGACTCAATGGCACCTAACAATAACACTGTAGTGAGCTCAAACTTTACAGATAAGCAGTTCATCTCAACGGACTTCCCCCCCCCAATAATAATTTTTACTCGTCATTATTAAAAGCCTGAATTTTAAACAGATTCTTAACTGGTGGCTCATAGCCATCAGCTCATTCAACTTTAGCACCTGTCTCATTTCCAGGAGTTTTTCCACAGCTCTCACCTTCACCAGGAAGCTCCATGAGTTTGCCCAGTTCAAACTTGGGCTTCTTTTTTGTTTATTTTTTTTTTTTAATTTTTTATTAGTAATTTCAGTGAAAATTTACAGAGACTTTGGATTTCCATTCATTCATTCATTGTTGCACCAGACTTTGGCTTCTTGAGCAATTTTACTTTTCTAACAAATACATCATGGAGAGGATAAATAGACTACAAGCATTTTCTATGTGCTTCCCAATGCTGTCTGGAACCAATTTCTTGACCACCTCTTTCAAATCATTTGTCTGCACCTTTTGGGTCATGATTTCCATCATTTTCTTCTGGATTTGGTGGACCTGTTGGTGCTGAGCATAAGATGTCTTCTGAATCTGATTGTTGTATTTTTTGGTAAAACCAACTCAAAACAGATGAAGCAAATAACCATCAGTAGTCTTGACATCGACATGAGCTTTGATCAGAGTCTACCATTTTTTGACTGTGGAACACATTTTGTCACAAGTAAGATCCATGCTGTGGAAGTTGATGTGGCAGGGTTTGCCTTGAACATCCTCAGTAATTAGCTTAAATTTTCCAAATGCAACCTCATTATTTTGCAAATGAGCAAGACTCACTTCAAAAACACGACCCTTGAGTCCATCAGATGCAATTTTGGTTCCTTTAGTCCTTGTGACTAATGTCTTCCCAACATTTCTTATATTGAACATTGCTGGTGCCTTTACATCACACCAATCTTTCTTAGGAATTGGATCAACCACTATCTTCTTGGCTCCTTTTTTGACACCTTTTGTAAGGTGCTTGTTCTTGCCGACCACCATGGTGGTGCCAAGAGAGTGAAAAGGCTGTCATGTGGCTTTTTAATGCATTTTAACATTATATAGAACTGACATCTCAGTGCATAGACTTTTCTCAGTGGTATAAATACATCCACTCTACTGCTTTCTCTATTCACCCACTTTGCTCTTTTTTAAAAAAAAATTATGCTTCCTCCTTGTCTCCCCAAGTAAGTGTAGCCAGTGTGCAGATGTGAGAAAATACACAGTTAGTCTATTTACTGCTTATCCAATTCCCGCCAGTGATGACCTCTTATAAACCAACAAATAGTGGAATGCCACAGCTCAAATACTTGTAATGATACAGTCAAGATTCAGACCACCCTGTCATCACTAGGAGCCCTCACGTTGCCTATAGCCACACACTGTTTCTTTTGCATGCCCACCTCATCCCTAAGCACTGATTAATCTGTTCTCTGTTTATAGTTGTGTCATTTTAAGACTGTTATAAAATGGAATCATAAAGTCTTTGATGTTTTGGAATTAACCATTTCTGCTCCCAATCTATCAAAATTATTTAGAGATTTTTCCAGGTTGTTGCATATAGCAATCATTTCTTTTTTATTACTGAGTAATATTCCATGGTATAGATGTTCCATAGTTTAACATTTCCCCTATTGCTTAAGAAGTTCTCTGGATTTAAATGCCAAGTTGACTTCCCTGCAGTAGGCAAACTGTTTACCTACAGTTGCTGCTTTTTTGCCATGTTCCTTGATGCCTAATTTTCTATGCAAATTTGGGGGCTTGAGCTCCATGTAATGTCTTCTCTTCCAGGATTTGTCCTTAACTTCTGATTATGGTTTTATCTCCCCTCCCTATATTCTACTTCAAGTGAGTCAGTATGCTGTTCCTTGCCATCCATGCTGTGGGTAGAATGTGTGTTTTCACATGTAAAGTACTACAACTTTACAAATCTATTCATTTGTACAGTAGACTTGCCTCCAGTTCTGCCTGTGTTTTCTTCCTCGAGAGATTTCAGAGTGAGTTTTAATAGTATTTTTCTCAGATTTTATAATTTTTTTTCTTGAGGACAATTTATGTGACCAATTCTCTGCTGTTACTCTATTTCCTTTTTATACTAAGTTTTTAAAATCTTGACTTTGGATCCTTAAATAATGCAATCTAGAACTGATCTTGTAAGTAGGAAGTATCATATGGAAAAGTATCTCCTTTTGTTTGAAAGTTGAAGATAAGTTATTTCTTTTTCTCTTTTTGAGAAAGGAAACAAACAAGTTGCCCTTCAATCTGTTCATACTCATAACAATCCCATGTGCCATTCAGCTCTGCCGCCAAGTCATTTCTGACTGAGCAACCCTCCGTTGAGTTTTTGAAGCTGTAACTCTCCTCATGGGAGGGGAATTGCTGTCTGTCGCCCATGGAGCTGGTGGTGGATGTGAGCTGCCAGAAATAAGCACTTTTGGTTGATAGTGCAGTCTACTAGGTACTGTGCCACCAAAGCCCCATATACACACATATGGAGGTCAAAATGTATATATTTTAGAAATAAATGCTTAAACAAAAACCATTTCCAACCTGTTATCACTATGGGCTTTTTCTATATTATGTTCAGGGATGCATTTTGATTACTATTTGCTGTTACAATTTTAGGATGCCTTTGTGAAAATCATTCGAAATGAGGGCATTAAATCCTTGTGGAGTGGCCTTCCCCCTACTCTGTAAGTTGAATTTTGCTGGTTTTCATTGTGAGTGACAGTTGTTTTATTTTGTTTTATAATCAGTGTGGTTGCACAAAGACTTGCATTTTTAATGTTGGAATTTTTCACTTTCTCCATTATTGTTTCCTGGTTCCCATGACAACTCATACATTTGATGAATTGCTAGGAGAATTTATAGGACCTTGACAAAGCTGCTATTTTGTGTTTTGTTTTTATTTTTTACAGCTAAAGGATACTCACCAAATCCTCCAAATTGGACTTGATTGCAATTCATAGTAACCCTGTAGAATAGAATAGAATTTTCAAAGCTACAACTCTTTGCAAAACAAGACTGCTTCCCTCTGAGTTACTGGTGGGTTCAAACCACAGACCTTTCAGTTAGTAAGTGAAACCTTTAGCTACTGCACCAACAGGGCTCCTTATATTATAAAAGGATACAAAGAGGGCGGGGGAGAATATGACTTCTACTAGGAGTTTTGTTGTTGTGTAGCATCAAGTTGGAACCGACCCATAGCCAACCCTCCAGTGAGTTTTCAAAGGCAGTAATCTCACAGGAGGAGATTGCCCGTCCTTTTCCGCAGAGCAGCAGGCAGATTCGAACTACGTTCCTTCAGGAATCTTAACCACTAGACCACCATGCAAAATGATCCCTCATGCAATTACGCAAGGTCTGCTTATTCTTCTATCAATGAACTTCAACACTGCTTCTCCCTAGAAAAGTCTATTTGAGTCTCAGAGCCAAAGGCTCGTTGGAGTTGGTCATGTAGACATGTTCTTTCACTTGTTAGACTATCTTCAATTAGCAAAATTCCAGAAACTAAAAGGAAACAGATGTTTAAAAAAAAAAATCACATTCTATGGACAAAACAAAATACCTGAATTTAATGCTCCAGATACACAGTTGGTCAAACTGAGACCTGCAAGTAAAGGAACCCTTAAAGACCTATAAACCAGGCTGATTATATTAATAAGTCTTTGTTGGATAAGCATTTTTTTCCTCATGTCTTGAAATTAGAGATTTCATGTTCATTTGCTTGTTCTTTATCTTATTAAAATCTTGGGAAATTATACTTATTATAAAAATGTATACTTTTCCTTTAGATAGTTTTCATTCTCTACTAAAAAGCTATTATTCTATTATAGGAATTAATAGCATAAACTAGTAAGAATGAATTTAAAAATGTAACTACCTGGATTTTCTCTTCCTGATTTCTCTCAAAGACTCATTCTGTGCTTTTTGTGGAACAGACTGTAACAGAGGAAGCCCTGTCTCGTCTGGCATAATGCCTGCCCACAATTGCTGCAATGTGTGAGCCCGTAGTTGTAGCCATTGTGTGGGGCCATCTCATGACTACCAAGCATGAGCTCTTTCTGTAGGGACTGACTTGTCACTCTTGATAGCATGTCCACATTATGCAAGGAAAAAGTCTTAACCATCTTCACCTCCAAGGAACCCTTCATCCCAAAAGAAATTTGTTCTTTTGACAGTCTATGGTAGTTCCCTGTTGATGTACTGCTCCAACCATTTTTTTAAAAATTGATTTTAATAAAAGTTAACAGAGACTTTGGATTTCCATTCATTCATTCATTGTTGCACTTTTCTCCCTGTCTCCCCACCCCCCAATTTGCTTTTCTCTTTGAGAAGTAAAAGAAAAAATTCTTATTGTTATTCAAGTCTTCTCCCCAAGTCCACTCCACTATGCTACCTTTGTTCTGGACTCCTGCCATGAAAATAATGTCTAATCATATATCCCTTTTAAACAGTTATCTCCCTCATCTGTTTCAATGCAGTATACATTATTTACACCCTCCTTTCCAGTCTCCCCCCACAACCCCTATGTCTTTCCTCTTTTATACCAGTGGCATTATGCTGTATTTGTCTTTTTGTGACTGAGATAGTCCAATCATTTTTTTAAGTCTCTAGCAAGATTTGTAGTATTCATCTTGTGTCCATTGAGATTTACAACCTCAGAAACTGGTGGAAGGTACTCATGGAATACAAATGACTTAACAGCACAGTTTTGTTGTTTCTTTTTAATTAGAATGGGGGTGGGAGTGCTGGAGGTGTGCAGTTGACTCAACTCTTAACTTGTAGCAGTCTCTGTGTACAACAAACTCAAACCTTGCCCAACTCTGCACCATCCTCACAAACTCCGCTTTGCTTAAGCCCACTGTTGAAGTCACTATTTGTAAAAAGGCCTCACGGGCACAGCCATATCTGACCTTTACCAACTCCACAAAGGGGCAATGCCCCCATCAACAACACAAATCAATTCCCATGAGGTCAGACATTTCCCCCCGCCCCCATGCTCCTTTATCTCTTTCTACTTATCCCAACACAAATCTTACTGCTTTACTGGGTCCAAAATCCAGTGTGATAGCACACAGAGCCATATTAGGGAAGTCAAAAAGCTCTAATTCAGGAAGCAGGATACAATCACTCAGTCAGGACACCTTCTGAAATGTGTTCTCAGGAAGCTACCTCAGTCTTGAGCCTCACAGCTTTAGGTCAGTGTTACCCAGTCCTGCCAGTTATGGCTCTTCCCCTTCCCCCGCCCTCATCCTCCAACTAACCTGGGCAGAAGGCTTTTAGCTCTGGCTCAGTGGTGTAGCAGTCCCAAGATCAGCTCCAGCTCATGTCAGGTATCTGGGTCTTGTCTGGCTGGCACAAGAATCTTTGGCCTCAGTCTCTTGCATCTCCATCACCATCTGATAGTGGCCAGATTCTCCAATTCTGCTGCTGGATCTGCTCAATTTAATGACTAGAGTAGCTCATCCCCTTGTGGACAGCTAACACTCTCTGTTCACATATTCCCGCCCATCCACATGGCAAAGCCAGTCAATGGCTAAGGAAGCCATGTTAAACACTATGTAACACCTCACTTGTGTCAGTCTGTCTCTTTGAGAGTTCTTTGTTCCTTTACTGACCACCTATCTTTCCAAGCATGATGTCGTTTTCAAAGGACTGGCCCTTTTTCACAACATGCCCAAAGTGTGTAAGAAAAAAGTTTCATCATCTTTGCCTCTAAGGAGCACCATGTATGCACTGCTCCCAAGATCAATTTCTTTGTTGTTTTGGCAGCCCATGGTATATCATAGTCTTTGCTACCACCGCAGTTCAAAGGCCACAGTTCTGCCTTTCTCATTGTCCAACTTTCACACACATATTAAGCAATTGAAAATACTATGACTTGGATCAGGTACACTATAGTCTTTAAGCCATTCTTGCTCTTCAAAACTTCAAAGAGCTCCTTAACAGCAGTATAATCTGTGAGAGTATTGTTAGTAAAAGGCGAACAATTCATACAATTTGAAGAGAAAGTAGAGTATGTGACAGTATTGTTAGAACATGCTCACTGACTAGTTTTCTGTTAAACAGTATCTCTTTTGCTTGAATGTAAAAAATTAAATTTACATCAGAATTTATGAAATCTTTTTTTTATATTTTTCATTTCATCATTGCATCCCCTTAAAATTGATACACTTATCATTTTCACATATGATACAGGGCCCGTAGCTAAAATGTGTAGTATCATTTGTACTATAATTTTTCTTTCTGTGATCTTGTGTTGTGGTAAATGTAAATTGGGAAGGTAGAGCTGGGAAATCTGAAATAGGGCCATTCTAAGAGAGAGAGAGAAGTGTCCTCATCTGACTTTACCTGCCTGTTACCTGAGCATATGCCTTGTACGTGACCTGCATTTAGACGTGTTGTTGTTAGGTGAAGTTGAGTCAACAACAACCAGTAGCGACCCTGTGAACAGCAAATCTTTAACTTGTCTTGCCCTGTGCTGTCCTCATTATTTCCAGTATACATGAGCCTATGGTAACAGTCACTGTGTCAGACCATCCTGTTGAGGGCCTTACTCTCTTTTGCTAGTCCTCTACCCTATCAAACATGATGTCTTTTCTGAGGACTGACTCCTCCTCCGATCATGCCCAAAGTCTATGAGGTGAAGTTTCACCATCCTTACCTTTAAGGAGCATGCTACTTACACCTTTTACAAAACATTTATTTGTTCCTTTGACAGCCCATGGGATTTTCAATACTTTACTCCAACACCACAACTTGAAAGCATCAGTTCTTCTTTGATCCTTATTCATTGTTCAACCTTTAGATGCATGGCAAATAATTGAAAAGACCATGGACTGGATCAAGCACACCTTAGTGTTTAACCTAATATTGTTTTGCTCCTTTGAACTTTAGAGGGGTCCTTGACAGCAGATTTTCCAATGTATTGTGTCGTTTGATTTCATAACTATAGCAAGGGTATTGATTATGGGTTCAAGTAAGATGAAATTATTGAAAATTTCAGTTCTTTCTCCAACTATGATGATGTTGCCTATTGGCCCTGTGGTGAGAAATTTTTGTTTTCTTGAGGTTGAGATGTAATCCATATTGAGGGTTACAGTCTTTGATCTCACATATATAGGACTTATGTAATGCTATGTATAGAAACTGTTTTCACAAGTAGTACATAGAAACCAGTGGATTTTTTGTTTGTTTTGGTGGTTTTTTTTAATTGCCTCATAAATTAAGCGGTAATGAAAGCCCTAATGATCCAGTGGCACACATGGTTTTGCTCTGAGTCAGGTGCAATTTGATGGCAACTGATGATAAATTTTGTATTGTCTAAACTAGAACAAATTAGAACGACTAGAACAACTTTTAAGTTAAAAACTATCTCACAGGCTGATTTGTTTGAATGATACAAAATATAAAGGTTTAACCTGATATGCCATAACAATCGAGCATGTGTAAGACCCACCAATCATGTTGCGTAACTTTTTGTGTGTGTTTCTAATAGAGTGATGGCAGTCCCTGCCACAGTTGTCTATTTTACCTGCTACGATCAATTAACTGCTCTCCTAAAATCTAAACTGGGAGAAAATGAAACCCGCATACCAATTGTTGCTGGAATTGTGGCCAGATGTAAGTAAGAATTATAATGTATAATTATATTTAAGAAATAGGTCTGTCTTGGAGAGGGTGAAACCAAGTTTCTCCTTGGAGGCTGGGATTTTGAAGCTCCATCTCACATACTTTGGGCCATGTGGCCAGGAGAGACTGATCCTTATGGAAGAACATAATGCTTGGAAAGGTGGAGGGGCAGCGCAGGAGAGGAAGACACCAGATGAGATGGATTGACACAGTAACTAGGGCAATAGGGGTTGGTGTGTCAGAGTCAGTGAGACTGGCTCAGAACAGGGCAGGTTTCAGAGCTGTTGTTGCTATGAGATGTGTCGCAGGCTACTTTATGGCACATAACAACAATAATTATTATTTATATTTTAATATTCATAGGGAATTTATATAGTAATGTGTAATCAAGTAATATATGAAATAAAAGACATTTTGCGTTATAGATTGTACCAATCTTTTATTTGGAAGCAGAAATGGCATCCATTTCCTAAAAAAACATGCCTCTGGAAACTATGAACTTTGAAAAATGTCAATAGTTATAGAAAGGCTTCAGGCCTTTTGTTCATAGGGTCACTATGAGTTGTGCTCGACTCCAAGGCAATCAACAACAACAATAACAATCTGTTATTATCTATACTCCAAAGTTACAAGGTATGGGCATCTAATTAGAATGAGATAGAATCAGCACATCCTTTCCAAATGTTAGAGATTTCAGAATGATACTAGTATTAGTTTTGATTGACCTCCATTTTTAAAGTATTATTTGAGACCATATATGATTCCAGCCAAGGTCCTGAATCATTTTCCTCATTAGCCTTGAAAGTCAGAGTTTATTCAGAGTGACACATCATAAAATAAAGGATATTACCTCCTAGATCAATATTCTTAAAAAACATCTGTGTAAGTCTAAATGTTCAACATTTAGTCTAAGGCAAAATGAAAAGAAAAGCCGACAGAGAAACTAGAGATTGGAAACAGCACACCTAGAGCACAATTAAAATGTTGACACTGTGAAAAATATAACTAAGTGCGACCCTAACTTGCCATGTTTGCTTTTATAAAAAAACACAATAAAATATTACTAAAAATAACAATAAATTGGGAAATTTGTCTTTAGGCAGAAGAACATTTACAAAGTCTCTTTTCTATAGAAAGGAGATTTACTGAGACACTAACTGGATTGAGACATTTGTATACTGTTGTTGTGATGTGCCATCAAGTTGCTTGTGACTCACAGCGACTCTATGTACAAAAGCCCTAAATGCTGCTCTATTCTGTGCCAGCCATTCAAAGGATTATTTTATTCCATTAGGGATTAGATTTTAAGATTTACAGACATTTCAGCATACAGGTTAAAACATTATGAACTGTTAAATTTATGTATTTTACATAGTACATGACTTTGTTTTTTGGTTATCTTCTGCTTTTCTCAATTAGTTGGTGCAGTAACTGTGATAAGTCCTTTAGAACTAATTAGAACCAAGATGCAGTCCAGGAAGTTTTCTTACCAGGAACTGAATCGATTTGTCAGCAAGAAGGTGTCTGAAGAGGGTTGGATTTCCCTTTGGAGAGGCTGGGCTCCTACTATTCTTCGAGATGTACCTTTCTCAGGTAAGATTTATCTTGTTAAATTTTATGTACTGAAATAGATTTTAAAGCCCTTTAAGCTTATTGTTGAATGCTCAATCCTCTGTCATTCTCACAATTATGGCTGTGTTGAAGCCCACTGCTGCAATATCAGTGCATCTCATTGAAGGTCTGCCTCTTTATTACCAAGCATGATGACCTTAGCCAGACACTGGTCTCTACTTTTAACATATCCAAAGTACTGAGAAAAAGTCACTGTCCTCACTGTTTTAAAATTGTGATTTGAATGAAGGTTTACAAAGCAAACTATGTTTTCATTCAACCATTTGTACACATTTTGTTCAATAACTAATTTCAGTGCTCACAACATAATCACACTTTGCTCATGGTCTTCTTGTAACTGTTTTCTTCTATTCCCATCTATACTTCTGAGTGTCTTTAGTGAGATTGTGCTTTTTAATACCCTCTTCCCATTTTGTGACTGGGTTGTTTCCGTTTTTCTTGAGATGTTGGAGTTTTCTGTAGAGTTTAGAGATGAAGCCCTTGTCATAGCTTGTTACAAATTTTTCCCCCCAGTCTATAGAATCTTTTTTTATTCTTTTGGGAAGACTTTTGGTGCACTTAGGAATTTAATTTTTAGGAAGTCCCAATATTTAGTTTATGCAATGCTGATTTTGTATTTTCACTTTTGATTATTTATGCTATAGATTGTTTTTGTTGTCATATGCCACTGAGTTGATTATGACTCATAATGACCCTATGAACAATGGCCCTGAACTTTATTCTGAGCCAACCTCACTGTCTTTGATACACTTGACCCCATTGCTACAGTCACTGTGTCAACACATCTCGTCTGTGGTTTTCCTCTCCTGTGCTGACTCTCCACACTTCCAACCAGGATGTCATTCTCAAAGAACTGGTCCCATCTGGCAACATGGCCAAGTATGTCAGACAGAGCTTTAAAAACCTTGCCTACAAGGAGCAACCTGGTTTCATCCTTTCTAGGACAGACCTGTTATAGTTTAGGGCTCTTAAATTGTCTCCATTTTTTTTTTCTTTGATGAACTTTATATTTTCAGGTTTTACACTTTGGTCCTTTGATCCATCTTGAGATAGTTTGTTTTTTGTTGGTTGTTTTTTTTTTTTTTTTTAAATAATGGTGAGGTACAGCTCTTATTTCATTTTTCCACAAATGTCATGTTCTGTTGATTCAACAACTTATAATGACCTTGAAGAAAGTAAATTGGAAGCCTGGCCTTTCCAATTTCCTGCTTCATCCTCATGGTATCAGGCATGCGTGTAAGCCCATTGTTACAGTCACTGTGTCAGTCTATCTTGTTGACGGTCTTCTTCTTTTTCACTGACATGTTTACCATTTCCAGCCATGATGTCCTTCTCCAAAGACTGCCCCTAATGAGAGCATGCCCAAAGTATATATGAAGTGTCATTATCTTTGTCTTTGGTACAACTCTGGTTGCACTTCCTCCAAGGTAGATTTATTTGATCTTTTGATAAGCCACAATTCAAAGGCATCATTTATTTGGTGTTCCTTATTAATCATTCAACTTTCCTATTCATAGGAAGTAACTAAAACAACTACAGCTTTGATCAGGTGCACATTGGTCTTTAAACTGACATTATTGGCATTTAACACTTTGGATAGGTCCTTGACAGCAGATTTCTCCAATGCAATGCATCTTTTGATTTCCTAACTATTGCTACAATGGATATTGATTGTGGATGCAAGTAAAATGAAATCCTTGACAACTTCAGTTTCTTCCCTAACTATCCTAATATTGCCTCTTTGTCCGGTGGTAAAGATTTTCATTTGCTTAATGTTGAGATGTAGTCTATATTGAAGGCTATATTGTTTGATCCTCTTCAGAAAGTGCTTCAAGTCTTCTTCACTTTCTACAAGCAAAAATTTGTCATATGTATAACACAGGTTGCTGATGAATCTTCTTCCAATCCTGGTGCCACATTCTTCTGCATAAAATACAGCTTTGCAAATGATTTGCTTAGCATACTGATTAAACAGGTATGGAGAAAGCTTCACGTAGGTGGATGGATTTGTTTCTGGGTTCTCTATTTTATTCCATTGGTCTGTGTATCTGTCCCTGTTCCAGTCCCAAGCTGTTTTGATTACTGTGCCTATATGGTAGACTTTCAGATCAGGAAGTATAAAGCCTCTGCTTTGTTTTTCTTCCTCAGTGGTGCTTTGCTTAACTGGGATTTCATTCCTTTACATATAAAATTGATGGTTACATTTTTCCATCTCTTAGAAAAATGATAATGGGAGCTAGTCAGGACTGCATTATATCTGTAGATCACTTTTATTTTATTTTCTATTGGTTTGCTTACAAAGTTCATATACATTGCTTTTCACACCGGATCCTTCCCCTTTCCTTTGCCCACCCCGTCCTCCACCCATCAAACTGTGTGACATCATTATGTGTATGTATTTTAGGGGGATACAATTCAGTCCATGGCAATGATGTTTATTAAGTCCATGCTTATTATTATTTACTTAAAGTTTGTACATCTGTGTTTGTGAGTAAGATTGGCCTTCACGTTTCCTTTCTCTTATTTTGTTTGTTAGATTTGGGGTTTATGGTCATGCTTTTCTTGGATATTTGTTGCTTATATGACTCTTTTAATTATATTGAGAATTTGATTTTTTAAAAAAACATCCTTCTAATATTTGTCTAAACAGAAAACAAGATGTGTCATGGTTAGAACTTCTCTTTTGTTTTAATGTGTAATAATATTAGAAATCTTTAAAACTCTCCTTTTATTCCTAAGGATATGTACATTTTATTCTTTGTTTTTATAGCAATGTACTGGTATAACTATGAAATGTTAAAGAAGTGGTTGTGTGAGAAATCTGGAGTATATGAACCCACCTTTATGATCAGCTTCACTTCGGGGGCATTGTCTGGGTCTGTAAGTTGATTCTTTTTTGTTGATATTTTAGAATAATGATAATTGTCAAATTATTCAAAACAGAACAGTATTATATTAATTTACATATAGACTGTGACAGTACTTTTGGGTTACATTGCTTTAAAATTTTTCTAAGCACTTACCATCTTTTTTAAGAAAGAGATGATTAACTACTAAGTATTTTAAAATGTACTTTATTCCTGTGTTTTATTATATCACAAGTGCATTATATTTTCCTGGGAGAGTTTTGATTTTGTTAGTTGCATTATGCTCATGGTAATGGTAATAATTTAAATAGTGCTATATTTTTATCAAACTCTCTGCAGTAGATTAGTTTCTATTAAATGCAGGTACGTCTGATTAGGTATTATCGTATGGGGAGTCATCGATCTCTAGAATCAGATTCAGATTGAATAGAAACACTTTCATCCTCTGCTGCTTGTTAACTACTAAATAAACGTATATCAACAAAAATTCCAGTCAGGGAAAAGAGGGATTACAAGTGACCATTTTTGGCTATTAGAGAATATACCTTTCCTACCTCTTCAGATAATGAAAGTCATGTGGAGAATTTCTCCTGCATAGACTTCTGCACCAGGACTTTTTCTGTGACATTTTCTTATATTCACATACTTTTCAGAGTAACTGTCTTGTCTGAGTGCAAGGCACATACATAACAGAACATAAAAAAAAGAGTCAAAGGGGTTGAGGGAAGTGTTGGAGACCTAGAGAAAAATATTGGAATAATTAAAATAAGAAAACCTCTAGGCTCTGAAAAGCCACTGTAATGAGTTTAAATGTAATATTTTCAAGTTAAGATCTGGCCTGGTAAGCCTATTTAGTAAAAGGAGCGATTAGGATTATTGAATAAATAAACAGAATACGGAATTATGATGGCCCAAATGTTGTTTCCAGCTTCCCAATAAAGACAGAACTATTTTATTACCCTGATTAATATAAAGAATTCTTTTCAAATGTCTTTTTTATGATCTAGAAAATGTTGCTACTCTTTTCTCAAGTAAAAGATTTCTGTCTTCAACAGAAAAAAAACACCGTAGTATGATCTATTCTGGCTTTCTGTCAGGGAGTAGAATAACCTGAACAACATATAATTTAGAATGTTGAAAATTAGCTAACAATGTACTCATAAAATATGGAGATGGATGTATCATGGAGGTGTTGCAACCTAGAAGACACAAATTTAACTAACAAGTTAAAAGTACATG